TAGAACCATAAAATACTGGTCTGGAGAGGACCTGTAGGATCATTTGTCCAACGGTTTTTGGCAAAAGCTGGTTCTAGGCAAGATGACCCAGCACCCTGTCCAGCTGGATCGCAGAAGTGTCCAATGTTGGGCAGTCTGCCACTTACCTGGGAAGATTATTCCACTGGCTGATTGTTATTGTGGACAATTTTCCTCTTGTAGACATTAGCCTTCTGGTTCATCCACCGATCTCCACAACTTCTCAAAGATTTTGGAGAGCCACCTCTCAGTGCCATCAGCCAGCTCTCTTAACACCCTCGGGTGAAGTCTAGGCCCTTTGATTTGTAGGGGTCAAGCTCCTGTAACAGTCTGAGCACCAACCCCTCATTCACTGATGGTCCTCGCCTCTGGGGGGGCCACCGAGGAGCCCCCGGGCCGGGGTTTGTGACCCCAGCCTGTGACTGTGCTAGCCACGAGGGCAGGTCCTCCCACCCTTTGTTGGAGGTGCAGCAAAGCTTTTTTCTCCTCGTAGGTGCTGAGAAGAGTTGTAGGACGCCCATTCCTCCCAGAAGGGCTGTAGGCGACTATGAGGAAATTCTCAAGTACTATGAAATCCATGAGACAATTGGGACAGGTAGGCTTGATCTGTGAAGGCGAACTGCTGTGTGCAATCTGTCTAACCACCTCAGTGCTTGTACAAGTATAGATTAACTGCTACTGCGGAGCCTATAGGTCGCGTTTTGGGCGTGTGTTTTGAGGAGCAGAACTCTGAAAATGTAGATTGAAGCTGGTAGCAGTGAACACTGCTTCCTCTAATACTGCACATGCTACATACGCCAGCGTAACTGCAAGATTATAGGCAAGAGAGCGTGTCATCATACTTATGTTTAAAGACTCTTTTCTGATTTTTAGGTGGGTTTGCCAAGGTAAAGCTTGCACGACATCTTCTCACCGGTGAAAGAGTTGCAATAAAAATCATGGACAAAGTTGCTCTAGGGGTAAGCAAAAAGATACTTAGAAGCTACCAGCATCTTCTCCTGTTCTTGCGGGGTTCTCAGCAGCACAGGGACGCAGTGTGGCGAACAGGCTGTCAAAGTAGTCCGCAGTTTCACAGCTTGCTTTTGTGGTCTCTCAGGGTGACTTGCCTCGTGTTAAAGTAGAAATCGATGCCATGAAGAACTTAAGACACCAGCACATTTGCCAGCTGTATCACGTGATAGAGACGTCCAAGAAAATATTCATGGTCTTAGAGGTGAGAAATGCGTGCGGGCACTCGGGCGCGACTGGGATAAAGCAGGAGGAATGGAAGCGTGCCCTCTGGTTACTGTCCAGCGCTCTTGACATTGTTGGGATTGCGCTTCTGACCGTGTTCTCTTCCTCACACAGTACTGTCCTGGAGGAGAGCTATTCGACTACATAATTTCCAAGGACCGCCTTTCGGAAGAGGAGGCTCGTGTGTTTTTTCGGCAGATTGTTTCAGCGATTGCTTACATTCACAGTCAGGGATACACCCACAGGGATCTCAAACCAGTAAGCCTGAATATTAGTCAGATTTGCATAAGCCATAATGGGCGCTTTTATTTCTCCATCGGGAGCCAGAGTAAGTTACGCCTCCTCTATTCTGTTGTATTTAGAGCTTGTCGCCTAATGTCTTCTGAAAGAGCGTTGTTTCTGTTTGCGATGACGTTCCTCAGATGAGCTGGATGTGGCTACATCTGAGGAAGGAGCTTCCACTGGGAGAGAATCGGAATGATGCGCTCCAGCTGGGAGCACAGGCCTGGATCTGGCTTTGAACGTTGCTTGGGTCGTTTTGTTATCCCTTTTACTGCAGCCTGTACCTGGAGAGGGTCTTTATGGTTCTGCTCTGTTGTGCTAATATTCTGTCCCCATGCCTGGAGGAAAAAGGGACACTAACAGTGCAGAGTGGTAGTGGCTGGACAGAGGCTGTGGCAGGAGATGTGTGCTACCGGCCCCATCCTGTGGCTTTGCTGTCACTACAGGGTTTGAGCATAACTTTAGGAACTGAAGACTTGAGTCCATTTCTCCTCAAAGGGGTTAGAATTTTGCATTTTTAGAGATGCTGACATCTCTGGGAAGACCAAATTCTTACTGCACAAGCATTCTCTTAGAGAGATCATGAAATCTTTTGTCTCCAGGAAACGTCTCCCCAAGTGAAGCATTGTGTGGGCCTTTTGGCAAGAGCTGGCTTGGGGCTGGGGAGCTGAAGGATTCATAGGATCATGTGATAACTTGGATGGGAAGTGACTTCTAGAGGCTTCCGCTTGAACCTCCTCCCCAAAGCAGTGTCAGACTAAGCTTCTTAGGGCTTTTTCCAGTCACACCTGTAATGTGGGTTATACTCGGTAGAAACCGATGAAATCTCCAGGGATACAGCTTTAGGAAAGTCCTAGCTGCTAAAGACAAGAAGAAATAACATGAAAGAAAATGTGGTTCCTTGGGTACTTAGGTTATGGAAGTACTCATTACTGCTTTCTCTTTTACCAGGAAAATTTACTGATAGATGAGGATCACAGTTTGAAGCTGATAGACTTTGGCCTTTGTGCAAAGCCAAAGGTAAGAGTAGCAGCTGCTTTCACAGAGCAGAGCTAAATCAGCTACTGCACACACATAAAAAGAAGCATGTTTGACTTCAGAGTGCAGCACAGAGGCTTGCACAGAGACCTTAAGTTCAAGCTGCTTGTGTCGTTGTCATCCACTCATTAATTGCTTGTGAGAGCCTTAACTGTGCGAGAGCAGTTAACTGCTTGTTATGACTGGGCTGTTAGATTGTTTTCTACTCTTATGCTTCATCTTGTTGTAATCAGAGACAGAGATCATCTGGTTTGTGTAGCACAGATAAAAAGACCTATAGGATGAAGCCCAAGCTGGTGTGCATTCTTCCCTAGGAAGTTTCAGTGGTGTCTGTCTTGCTTTTGAAATGCTTTAATTTGTGTCAAGATTGTGAATCAATCAAGTAGTTTACTGCAGTTACGCTGACAAATCCCTGGGCTCCATGCCATTGTGCCGAGTTGTTTCCTGAGTTTAAAGTTGGTTTCTAGGAGCCCTTTCTGTTTGCCAGCTTAATGGCAAGGTGGATACAGTTAAACAATTTAAAACAGGAATGAAGTTGTACTAATCCAAAGACAGTTACCTCTCCCCAGATTGTTTTCCCTGCATCAGGTTAGAGGATCCTACAGACAATCTACTAGACCATCATGTTGGTGGTACAATGCTGCCTTGTTCTGATTTGTTTAGAGCAAAGCCCACGCAAAGTAATAACATGGTTTTGATAAATATTTTTAGTGTTTTTTCACGGAGTTATTGCATTGAATGTTACAGCTAGCCTCGTGCCCAATAGCACTTGGATCTCTTCCCAAGTTCCACCTCTCCTCTTCATGGCTGCAGAGTGTTCTTAGAGGAGGAGCTAGAGGAAGAGTTGTGAGGGTCATGGCTGAATGAGCAGCTCGGAATCAGGGTGTTTACAGGATACTTGTGCTCTTAGCTTTTGCTTAGTGAAGCCATGTATTACACCAGAGCAAAACGTAAGGTGAATGTAGATGTGCAGCAAAGGAAGATGAAGCCTCCAGGTCTCTAGTATGCTGTTGCTGGAAGACAAGTCAAGGCTCCTGTGCCATCAGTTTTCTGTGTTCTCGTAGGGTGGCCTCGATTATCACCTGCAGACGTGCTGTGGAAGCCCAGCCTATGCAGCACCGGAGCTGGTCCAGGGCAAAGCATACATAGGCTCAGAGGTACGCGGCGTGGGTTTGGGTTAAGGGGTAGAGGCAGTGAGCTTCGATGTGCTGGCTTGGCTTCTCTCTCGAACGCCACTGGGTGACATGGCCACATGGTCCTCGGAAGTGCTATGCCTGGCCTTGGCCCTTGTAGCTACGGGAGAACGTGGTGTTCATCTAGCTCTTTGTTTTGTCTCTGACTAATGCTTCTCTATTTCCATTTGTTGCTGCCTATTTTAGTGCCTGTGACAGAGTTAATTTTCTCCCTCATGGCTGGGGTTGTGGGTTTGGTGTGAGAACACTGCTGGTAATGCCCAGATGTTGCTCTGCAGCGCTCACCCCAAGGGGAGGGTTTTTCAGTTTCCTCACTCTGCCCATGAGCAGGGCCATGAGAAGCTGGTGGGGAGCAGGACCCAGGGAGGCTGACACAGACTCCCTAGGGGGATGTGTCCCCCCACAGGATGTCGTACCCTGTAAATAAATCAGAGGGAGCTGTCAGTGAGTGATGACCACCTGCGCTGTGCGTTGCTCATCTTGTCTTGGGTTTTCCTTCTCCCTTTAATTATTATATTCCCTTCCATTACAACTATTACCATATCTCCACACACAAGTTTTGGATTTTTTTTAATTCCTCTCCCTATCCCAGCAGGGGGTACTCAGCCATTGCCTGTGTATTGCTTTGTTGCTAGCTGGCTTTAAATCACAACACTGACCTATGAAAAAGTAACTTAAACTCCTTCCTTCTGCTGCATATTCTTTCAAGCAGCAATTTGTTCCGTTAATTTTCCAACTTGTTATTGCAAAATTTTTTGTGCGACCTCATATACTCTGCCACACCTGTGTTGAGCTTTTATCCAGCTTTGATTCCATGTCTAGAATGTCAGGACCTACTACTTGCCTTAGTTGATCCGTCCATAATGCGTCGATGCAATCTCCTTGAACTTAAATTGCTATGCTAGTTAGTGGAGTCAGGCTTTTTTCTTCTTACATACCTTTGCACCACAATCCTCTGTATCTAATTCCAGCTTTCTTTTACTTTATTCTGATTTGTTTCCATGAAGCCCGGTGTTTTTCAAGCCTCCTTTTCCTTTCTGTTCCAAGAGGCACATGGACATTGCTGTGCCCATTTGGGCAGCCAAGCAGCAGCCAGGCTTTAGTGTTGATTGTATCTGTGCTGGCAGCTGTTGTCATCAGTAACATGTTACTGTATGAAGTCCCTTCTGATGAGCTTGATTTCATTTTTGTCAGTGAAATCCTTGGAGATTGAAGTTAATGCAGCAATTTGGTGACCTAGGGAGAGGATATTGGTTTTATTGCTACGCTAGCTTGAGTGAATTGGGAATTGAATTTGGGTTGTGTGCTTTCACTTGGAATGCACAGTTCTGTCCAGAATTAAGGGCCTGTGAGTTGTCTGTGGACCTTGCTGTATTATCTATCTGTAAGCCATTTTAGATAGGTCAGGTTTGTGAACTTCCACTCGCTTTTATTTTTCAGGCTGATATCTGGAGCATGGGAGTGCTGCTGTATGCAGTGCTGTGTGGCTTTCTGCCCTTCGATGATGACAATGTCATGGCTCTCTACAGGAAGATAACGGTGGGTGTTAGTGGTGCTGGATATGGTGGGAACAGACACTGTAAGTGTTAGGAGAGGCCTTTACCTTCCTGACAGCAGAACCTGTTGAGCTTTGCCTAGGGTGAAAAGACACATCTGTTGAATTTGGTTATGCTTTGCTGCTTTTCCTACCAATATTTTGTGGATTTGTTTCCATCTTTTATTGGCCTTTGCAGTACTCTAGATTGGTCCTGTGATAGGTAATTGATGTTCAGGAGAAGCATTTTCTTGCTGGTGAGTTGGATTTTTGTTCCTGAGCCCTTGTCTCTCTTCTCCCTGTATTGTTTGGAATAGAATTGCAAGTATGCAATTTGATTTACCAAAAATAATGTTCTTAAACATCAGCGATTCTCATGCCTAGAAAGAACAGGATTCTGCATCTGCTATTATGCTTTTCTCCTACAAATTCCTCTGGAAAAGTTGAATAAATAGTAAGTAATAGAATTTGTTAATTGGCTCTGTTTCTCTGTAAACTCCTTCTGATGCAGCTGTTCCGCATCATTTGCACAACACTATCCAAACATTTCTAAGCTGCCGTAAAATTGACGTTGATAAAACTTCCAGTGAGTGGGTGAGGTGAGGAGTAGCTGTGTTGGGTGAGGGCTTTGGCTTCCTCTTCCTACCTCTTTCTTCTTATCTCACACAGAATTCAGTTTATCTAAGAAATACCTCAAAAATTCCTCGAAAGTGTGCAAGGGCTACTCTGATAGGAGGCAGCTGAGAGCTAATCTACACAGGGAATTTTCTCAGGTTGTGTAACAATGAGCTCTGTAAAAAGTGCAGGATTAGTTCATCAACTGGCACAGCTTCTTACTGTGGAATTGGAGTGAACTTGAGTACCTTGATGGAAGATCTGTAAGAAGCTCAGTCAGAGTTGTTTTAAAGAGCTTAAATAATAATAAATAAAAAAAAAAAGGAAGCAAAGCAAACTGGGCCAAAGAGGTCATGTAAAGGTGCTGGTACTCTGACGAGTTGCTGTTACAATGATTTGACTTCCCTACTTGTGTAATTGTAGAGTATCTCAAGTTGGAAGGGACCCATAAGGATCATTGAGTCCAACCACCTGCTCCTTGCAGGACCAGCTAAAACTAAACCCTATAACTAAGAGTGTTGTCCAGATAATTTCTCAGTAAAAGCACCACAGGGGAATCACCTAGGTCATCAGTCAGACCTGAGTTGCTTTTCCCTCTCTGCTTGTGGTGTGAGCTGTGTTGTCTACCCATAAAGCTAGGGTATGTTGAGCACTTGGCTGTTTTTTATAAGCATACTTTGTAGGATGACAGAAAATTGTTTATGCTGATCGTTGCCCCGCGTTGCAGAACCTGGTAAAAATTCTGACTGCTTGAGGTATTCACTCTCTTAACCTTGTCAGAGAGCTTAGGTGTGGGATCTTAAGAATATCAGAGATGACTTCTGCATAGTTTTTGTTGTCTGACGCGTGCAGGAGCTGCCAGCAGAGTCATTTGAACTGACAAAATGTCCAGTGGAACTTGTTGAAGTGAACTGACATGACCAAGTTTTAAAACTGAGTCTGTGTGCAGTCAAAACCCAATAGTAACGTCACTGGTGTTAAGACGCAGGCTTGCTATTTCCACTGTGAATTTGTTCTAATTTTATGTGGTTGTGAGCTGAAAATTGCTTGAAATGAGGACACTTACGCACTATTGTGGAATTTAATTTCACACATTATAGATCCTGACGTTTATTGTAATCTCAGATCAGAGCTATTGTTCCAGGCCACTGTAATAATCTGCTGCTTGAATCTAATTAGGATGGTATGACTTACGTGCCATGTTTCTTTCCCTGGAATGTTCTGCATCTCTCTATTTGGGAATACTTGAATAAATGCCTTTACTTTTAGAATGAAAAATCAAGCATGTGATGTAACTTCTGTAAAAGAATACAAATTGTTTCTTGTGGTATTTTTTGGATCTGCTAGCTCTTGCAAACTGTTTACCTTCCAGCATTGCTCTTAGTCAAGTAGATGCTAGCTTTGTTTTCCTTGTCTCACATTCTGTAACAATATATTAAAAAAGAAATGCAGATTATATGTTGTTGTCAGAGTAGAGGTACTTTTGTGAAACAGCCTACAAACTCCAGGTAGCTCATCAGCAGTGTCTGTAAAGATGTAAATTTAACTTAAACTTGTTCTATAACCTGTGATGTCAAAGCAATATATACTCTGCTTAGAAATGTATGTTCCATGTAATGCCAGCTATTTAGTTTTTGAGGCATTTGTAGAAAGAAAACTGCTGTGACAAATTTGTAGTTCTGTTATTCTGTAACAGTGATTCTTTTTCCTCTGTTTTCATCAAGAAGTAAATGATCCTTGATGATGAATTTGCTTTGATTTTCAGCTATGGTTGTTTTACCTCAGATCTGAAAGCCATTTTCAATCTTCTTCTAATCAAGAATTAATAAAAAACCCGGTAAATAATTTAACTGAAAGAATCTCACCTGTTAGATGTGTAACCATTTTCCCATCTGCAGTATGTGTAGGGATCAAAACAGAAAAGAAAATTGTTGAGGATGGTTTATTGTTACTACCTCAAAAGTAGTGATTTCAATTGATATTCATATTTCAAAGAGCTGTGACGTGTTTGCACTTCTGATACTTCAAAATCAAGTTGATGTGCTGAAACAGTGCACTGGGTGAGGCGTGGGTTAGCTGCAGAAGTGGACCGAGATAGAAATGCCACATGAGCTGAGTGGGTGAAAGCTGCAGCTGATAATTCAAACGTAGCATTTACCTCACTGATACAGCTGGGTTTTAGTTCTACTGTTAACTTTATTCAAGTCATTCTTAAAGCTAAGTTTGCATGTGCCTGCCTTTTTGACAGAACGCAGATGTCACTATCACACAAGTAATTTAGCGGTTGCTTTTGAGCTGACTGTTCAAGGTTCATTTAGGTCCTCTTCTTTTCTACAGAGAGGAAAATACGTTATTCCTAAGTGGCTCTCTGCTAGCAGTACACTACTGCTTAACCAAATGCTGCAGGTAAGGGTATTGCTTCTGCTCAGTATTATTGCATCAATAAAATACTTAGAAAAATATTTGGTGTTTGAACCAAAAGTTTAATTCTCACAGACTTTTGGAGAGAAGACTGATATTGCCTTCTGACAAAAGTTCTTGGAGAAGCATGATTTGATATAGAAGAAATAATTAGCCAAAGTTTCAGTGATTAAACAAAGACTTCAAGCAGCCTGCTTGACGTTCTCAACTCTGCTGTGTAAGTAAGAGCTGTTTTATAAATGGCAGCGTACACACCGAGTATGCATTTGGGCTACATCTAAGCAGTCTGACCAGTGTGAAATATTCCTGAAGCTTTTATTGTAACTGTAGGCTCTATAGTTACATGTTTCACCATCCTTTGGGTGAGGCTCTGAAGCAGTACTAGTTTCCAACTGAGCTTCTAAGCACCCTCAAATCCTGAGGAGAAGACAAGTTGTTTCTTCAGTTCTTCTTGATTATTTATGTATCAGCTTGCATTTTATTGCCAACTAGGTGGACCCAAAGAAGCGGATTACAGTCAAACATCTGTTAACTCACCCCTGGATCATGCAAGGTTATTCTGATGCGGTTCAGTGGCAAACGAAATACCAAGTAAGGACACTTGTTAGATGAATACAAAAGTCTTTTAATGTCATCTTGACTGGCTTGCCGCTGTCTTCACAGTGTTGGGAAGTGAAGGCATTTTTCCAGGGATGAACTTTGAGATGGCTGTTTTTCCTTTCCTATTCATCTTACTGTCAAAATGTTACTACTTTCTCCCAGCTTCTCTTGAGGGGTGATTTCAAATGTGTTTTCGCTGTATTCTGCAGCTGATGCTTAATTTGAAAAATACCTGACTTCTCATGAAAACACGAAGTATTTCTGCAGATAAACGACCAGTCAATTCTCCAGGCTACTTGGTCAATACTATAAGGTGCAAAACACACATGTCCTAGAGAGCATATTAAACGTTATTATGGTTTATTTTGTATCTAGTCCTCTCTGAGAATTGCTAGATTCAGTAAAAATTTAACTTCGTTGTAAGTATGTTTGTCCTGTCTCTCCATTACTTGTTTCACTTATGGGAGAGATTAAGGTGGTATGGAAAGAAGAAAATAAAATCTAGCTGTCTAGGAAGTACAGAGAAGTTCCAGCGTGTTTGCAGCTTGTTGGCCACTGGATGCCACTGTTTCTCCAGATAAAGAGCAGCTTTACTGCACTTGCAGCATCCATTCTAAGTGGCTTGAAAAAAGATGTGCACATCTGATAGCTTTTAATATTTATAGATAGATGCGAGTGTAGCTTCCATTCTTGTTAAAAATCTCATCTGCCATCAGACTTTCTTACTGGAATTCACGGTGTCTCGCCAAGGAGGGGCCAGACTATGAAGCTGTTGAAGTTGTATGACTTTTTTACTCTGCACCCTACAATATTCAGCTATGATGCTAACTATTCAAAGTACAAGCTCTAAAATCACAGTTGATTATGGACTCAACTCTCCGGGTTTCACAACAGTGTCGCAGTCAGGTATGAATTATGAGACGACTTGAAAGCCTCATGCTTCAATATCTATCCTGTTCTTGCAGCTGGAGCATCTTGATGAAGACTGTGTAACAGAGCTCTCTGTGTTTCATAAACAGAGCAAGGAGAGTATATCGAAGTTAATATCAGAGGTAAGAAGTATATATTAGTAATTTACACTAAATAAAGACAAATATAGCAAATAAACTTACTGTATTAACAGACTAATGCTCATTTATTCTCAAGTAAGAAATTTTTAATACTTTTAAGATTTCAAGAAGAGCTGCAGAACTACAGGATCTACCTGTAGCTTATATGTACAGTTCTGAAGCTCAAATTTGTTTTTTTCCTTTTCCTTTAACTGTGATGTTTCCTGAACCTTACTGTTATTTCCCACCGTGGTAAAATCTGTCTGGATCTTGTAAAGTCAAAATAGGCTTAAGAGAAATTTATAGCTGAAAAACAGATGCCATTTCCTGGGTTAACTCCTTGCTTTGAAATGGTTCAGTAAGTGAAATCATTTTAAAAAAAAAGTAAGAGAAAAATATCAGAGCATCACCCAGACAGACTATAAAATCCATTTTTTAGAGTTACTATTCTGTTTTTAAAAAAATTAAGTACATTTAAGTCACTTTTTAATAGAAATGATGGAAGTTGAACTGACTACATGTGAAAGAATTGTACAGATGTTATCAATGACATTGTGGACTGTAGAAGAGACTTAAAACATGATGCATTCTCCAGCTTTAACCTGAATCTGAAAATTCTCCCTTGAGATTGAGGGGTTTTTTTCCTTCTTTATACATGGTGGCAGTGACATAGCTCTTAGCTTTAGCAAAACAAGTTTTTCATATAACCGCAGTAGAAACATGCTTTTAAAATATGCAAAATACTAAGATGGATTTGTGGGGTTAATGCTACGTGTTCTTCAGTTATAGAAAATAATCTGAATTATCTGTCTACTTGGGGGAAATTCCTTCCAAATGGACTTGTGGCATTTGCGTAGTCCTTTACTGGATGATTTATCATCTCTTGTAGCTAATTCAAACTAATGGTACTATGTCACAAACTTGCCAGACATTGTACCCATGTTCCTCACGCAAGTGGAGCTGCTGAAAATCATGCAAAAATTTGGTGATGTGCACAAGGGAAGTATGAGGGATGGAACTCCAAAAAAAAAGAGACTTTTGTTGCATGAAGGCAGGGCTGTGGATGTAGTCTACCTTGACTTTAGTGAGGCATTCAACACTATTGCCCACAGCATTCTCCTAGAGAAACTGACTGCACTTGGTTTGGATGGGCACACGCTTTGCTGGGTGGAAAGCTGTTTGGATGGTCGAGTCCAAAGAGTTGTGGTCAATGGAGTTAAATCCAGTTGGTGTCCGGTCACGAGTGGTGTCCCCCAGGGCTCAGTGCTGGGGCCAGTCCTGCTTAACATCTTCATCAATGATCTGGATGTGGGGATGGAGTGGACCCTCAGTAAGTTTGCAGATGACACCCAAATTGGGTAATGTGTTGATCTGCTTGAGGGCAGAGAGGCTCTGCAGAGGGATCTGGACAGGCTGGATCACTGGGCCAAGGCCAATGAAATTCAATAAGGCCAAATGCCAGGTCCTGCACTTGGGCCACACCAACCCCCAGCAGCGCCACAGGCTTGGGGGTCAGTGGCCGGGGAGGCGCCGGGGCGGGGGGGGCCCGCTGGAGAGCTGCCAGGCAGAGGGACCTGGGGTGTTGGTGACCACTGGCTGAACATGAGCCAGCAGTGTGCCCAGGGGGACAAGAAGGCCAGCGGCATCCTGGCCTGGGTCAGGAATGGTGCTGTCAGCAGGAGCAGGGAGGTGATCATGGCCCTGTGCTCAGCTTTGGTGAGGTCTCACCTTGAGTGCTGTGTCCAGTTTTGGGCCCCTCACTCCAAGAGGAACACTAAGGTGCTGGAGAGGGCACAGAGCTGGGCTGCCAAGGAAAGGATTTGGAGCATGTGTCATATAAGGAACGTCTGAGGGACCTGGGGCTGTTCAGCTGGAGAAGAGGAGATTGAGGGGAGACCTCCTTGCTCTCTGCCACTCCCTGAAGCTGAGACTCCCGTCTGCATCTTGTGGTGAGTGCCAGGACGAGGGGAAATGGCCTGAAGTTGGGCCAGGGGAGGTCCAGGTTAGATATTAGGAAGAATTTCTTTACCGAGAGGGCTTCAGTCAATGTCCCTGGAGGGGTTTAAGAGACAGGTGGGTGTTGTGCTGAGGGACATGGGTTAGTGGTGTTGCAAGATCTGGGACAAATGTTGTAGTCAATGATTCTGAAGGTCTGTTCCAACTGAAACTCTTGTATGATTCTAAGTATTAGCTAAACTAAATTAATAGCTTTAGCATTCACTTCAATAGACAGATTCTAGCCCCAGTGTTAGTTTTCATGCTACTAAGCCTGCAGCAAACTGACTTGCAAAGAACACCCACCACAGGATCTGAGACACAGCGAGTGAATCAATTCAAGTCTGAAATTACACTCAGGTGATCAAACGTTAGGGATGCATGTCAGGTAGAAAAACTTGCAGAAACACAGAAAGACTGAGCTTGCTTTCTACGTACTTCCAAAGAGGAGATTAAAATACCTTTTTTGTTGCTGTTTTTTGTTTTTCTAGTGGAAATATGACCAAATGTCAGCAACATATCTCTTGCTTCAGTCCATGAAGGCTCGTGGCAAATGTATTCGCATAAGGGTTCCACGTCAGATGGGGCACGCCAGTGCAACACCATCAGCCAGCCTCAAGGTAAGTTCTCGTGTTCAACAGGACAACACACTGGTTAAAATGCTGCTCTGCGTTACCAGGCTGGTGCCCTAAATATCAGCAAGAGAGCACGTGTCCCGTCAGCCACAGTCTTGGTGATTAAACTATTCTGTCTCCTCCTGCACATGTTTTAGCAAGCTGTGCTGCTTCTGGGAGCTGACATCACTGGAGTGACTGGGATGACACTGTGCATTTTTAGGACCACATAGAATCTCCCTGTGGCTGCTCACAGAAATGGGCTAAAATTGCTCATTGCCTGGTCTATGTGGTCATTCCAGATTTTCCTGTGTGGTGCCTCACTTCTTACCATGCTCTTTCACATTTGTCTCTAGATATTTTTGTACCTTTCTGGTTGCATTTAGCATGGTTCAGTGAGGAGAGTCTTCTGAAACATCCTGGCACATCATCTGTGGAGTCTGCTTTGAGACGTCACAGACAGTAGTACATCACCTGGTTGTCAAAGCAGAGAAACTCATGCCTTTCTTACCTCTTTCCTTGTAGAACACAATCTCAGAGAGCATTCTCTTTGTTCTGAGTAAGGGAAACATGTTGCTGATGTTTAGCCAGATTCTCATGTGGTTTTGTGTATGTTTTGATATTTTCTGTTATTGTGGCTTGGTAGCAAAGTGCATACAGGGAATTTCAGAAATTGTGTGAAGTTGCTGAATTGCTTGCCATCACATATATTATATGCAGCTATCTGTGGTGTCAGTGATATCTGTCTGTGCCAAACTCAAAAACTTCCAGTAAAATCGTAAGCTTCCTGTTAGCCATTCCCCCTTGAACTGTAGGCATCTGTGTAAAATTGTTAACTAGGTATCTGGGTGTGCTGAATTTTCTACATAGAGACAAGCACTCAATAAGTCCTTTCTTATGTGTCTGATTCAAGTGCATAGTTTCAGTTTACTTGTACAACTGCTTTGGAACGCAGGTGAGAATTCTAAGATTACCAGAGATCCCAACTGTACTGCTGTGCTGCGTAACAGATCGTGAATCCCAAGTGCTGCTGAATATGCATGATGTGATCTCTCTCATCTTGGTGGTCACGCTTGCACTCAGGTGATGTTTGGGAGGATGTTCTTCAGGTTCAGTCGCGCTGATACTGTGCAGTTCCTTCAACTCTAGTGCTGTCCTGGGTAAACGGATCTGGTTAATGCTGTTGTTGGACATAAGCAGTGTGCCATATGGGTGGCTGTGAAAATCCAGTCAGCACAGCAGCCCATCAGTCCTTCCACAGCACTGAGGACCTACTTGACTTGTAGATTCTGTGAGTGAATACCAGCTGAATTTGCTGAAATACCCAACTACACACTTCTCTAGCCAGAGACAGCTGAGCAAACAGAACCTTTAAATTTGTTTCTGCATCTGGTGGCACAAGCTTGTACATCACACTGCCTTATTTCAAGCAGTTTAGGGTAGAAGGATATTCCAGAAAATTTGCCGTGGCATGAATTTCTTCTAGAACATGGTAGCAAAGGAATTCTGTTCAAGCGTTCCTACGTAATGGGACGCAATTTCAACTCCAGTGTTGGGCTCTTAGCTTCTTGGCTGTAGCCAGCAGCCCCTAGGTAAAGGCTTTTTAGTAAGTTGTCACGATAGGTCTGGTAGCACACTGGGAAGCTCCCATAGTGATGAGAGATCTGGTCATCACAATATCCTTGATCACAGGCAAAGAGAAACTTTGCTGCCAGCAGAACATCTCTTCCTCAAGTGGTGTCCATTCCAGCTGAGGACTCATACTATAAATTAACGGTATGCAATTTCACTGAACTTTTATGAAACAAATCCTTGGGAAGAGTTTCCTGAAATAACAAGATGTGTTAGAAACCAAGGATACCGTGACAGACATCTGATTGTGTGCAGGGTGAGCCTTGGAGGTTCACAATCTTGGCTGACGTTGCGAATCCTGTGATTTAATAAATAGTAGCATTTTCAAGGCTAGCAATTAGACAAAGGGTTCTGAATGCTAGTTCAAGTACTCTTGGAGATTCCATAATCGTAGGTTTTGGATGGAATGTGTTTACCTTTATCCAGCCTCCTGCTGCATTCTTTTCTTGGGTTCTTTCCACCTTATTATTTGGCTTTTGGTAAAAAGCTTGTGGTCCAGATCTTGAAATCAAAGACAAGCAATTTTTGTGAATTGGCTCTCATATTGACAGCTGCTCTTATTGACGCAGGCCATGAAGGATGACTTGGTAATGGCAGTGGTTCTTTGAGAATGATTTCACATCTGCTTTTGATAAAAATGGCAAATTCACAGTTACAATATTGAAGTCGTATTACAAAACTTACATCACTGGCCTGGAAGCTTCCACTAGCTGTTAGCCATAATTAGGAACTTACAAAAATAACATTTAGATTTTAATGACATTTTTCTCATGAAATCTTTCTTTCAATTGTGCAGTGGAATCTCAATTGCATCTTTCTTTTCAGTCTGAAAAACCTATGACATATGAAGATACACCAGGGTGCAGTGAAGTGCCGTATGCATTTGGATCCATGGAATTTTTGGATGCAGCTTCACAGTTTGAAGAATCTCCATTGGAAGAATTTATTCTAAATACTCGCACAACAAAACAGGTATTTAAAGAATTTATCATTTAAAAATGGAAGGGATATGCTGTTCTTAATTTTAAAAAAACCTTATTGTACATAAAACTTATTACATATTTAAATGTTTGAACCCTGGCCAAGGGGAGGTAAAAAACAAGTAAAGAATTGTGCCTTGCTCTGTCTGTAAATCATGATTCATTTGATGAGAACTTGAGCTTTGGCATATGATTAAAACGGCATCTAGGGAATGACTAAGTGAGGCAATGAGGATTTTAAAACTGAAAGGAAGACATTAAGGTACCTCAAACAGGATCTCAGCACTGGGCTAGAGCTGGACAGGACTTTGCAGAAGTTCAGCCTGTCTGTGTTGGCCAAGAAAATCCAATTAAGCCATTAAAATGGTACAGTTAAACCAAGTGAAAGTTCTTAGCTGTGTTTAGATAAGCTGGTGAGGAATAGTCCTTAAGTGTGCAAACTGAAGAGTTTGGAAGAGTGGATAAAGAACTGGCAAATGACTTGAGTTGTTTACTAGCAAGTTGTAGAGAGATTGAGAAGTACTGAAGAGTTTTTAACTATTTTGCTCAATCGGCAAGCGTTGTATGGTATTTTCAACCTGCTTCAATTTCAGAATTTCCTGTGATTGGAATACAGCAAGGGATGTCTTTTTTGTTTGTGGGTTTTTTTTATTACATCTCTTGCAGCATTCAAGCCATGCTGCTCAACTGGATGATATGGAATTCACACTGTCAACTCCAGTGACAAGGAAAGTGGCATCAAAGAAGCGTGAAAACAAAGAGAATGTTGATACAGAGTCAGCTTTAAGAAATGAAATGCCCTCTGTGCTTCCTGCTCCAAAGAGTCTTGTTGTGGAGAGTCAGGCTGAGATCCAAGCACAAACTGTACCCTTTCAGGAGCCTGCCTTCAAAGGTATGGTGGATGTAACTAACGGTAACTGAGAATGTCTATATTGCTTAGGAATCACTGTAAATTCAAATATGAATACCATACTTGTGTATCCAACACATCTGTTTCTGGAAGACTCTTTTTTTGCCCCTCATATTCACTACTCTGGTTCCTCTGGCCTGTCTGGTGAGGTGCTGCAAGAGGTTTCTCCATACATCAAGGTGTGATACTTCTATGATAGTGACAGAAGTCATCGCTGCTGACCATAGCACATGCCTTTGGCACACTGACATGGGGCCAAGTGCCCTGTTCTTAAAGCTTGAATCTGGTTCCCTTTTCCATTCAGGTTCAGAATGCAGGTTCCTCAACACTCTGTTTTTATTTTGTTATTACCTTGATTGAAAGTAAAGATGTGCTTTTAGTCAAGTCTTGCAGTGAGAGACTCTTCTATTCCAGGTGCTGAGGAATATTGTTCAGAAACAGTCAGTCCTTGCAGGATAATTGAAGTTAACATAATGTCAACATGCTCCTGTCCAGTGCCACCCTTTCTGAAGGGTTTAAGGAAGCATACCACAAATACTAGTTATTTGTATGAGTTTGATTTTTCTCTTAAGATTGTATGTGTGTCATAGTTCAACCCTGGCCAGCAGCCAGGTGCCCACTCAGCCACTCTCTCACTCCCCCTTCTGTGCTAGACAGGGGGAGAAAATATTTCAAAGGGCTCAAGGTCTGAGATAAGGACAGGGAGATCACCTGCATTTACCATCCCGGGCAAAACAGTCTCGATTTTGGGGAAATTAGTTAATTTTATTAAAAGAACAAATCAGAGAACAGTAGTGAGAAATAAGAAAAACAAACAGATGTTAAAAGCAAAACACTGTCCTCCCTTCTTCCTGGGATCAACATCAGTCCCGGTTTCTCCACCTTCTACCCCCGAGTGGCGCAGGGGGACAGAGAATGGGGGTTATGGTCAGTTCATCCAACATTGGCTCCACCGCTTCGTCACTCTGGAGGAGGACTCTTCACACTTCCCCAGGGCCATTGTGGGGTCCCTGTCATGGGAGACAAGGTTCACGCTCTTTTACAGTGTGAGTCGTTTCATCACAAACCGCCCAACGTGAGACACCTCACGAGGGGCAGCCCACCCCTCGTGAGTCTGAGGTGCAGTCCTTCAGGGAAACTGCTCCGGCGTGAGTGCCCCGCAGCGTTACACAAGTCCCACCAGCCAACCTGCTCCAGCATGGGCATTCCTCTCTCCCGCGGGCTACAGGTTCCAGCAGCGACCTGCTCCAGTGTGGGCTTCCCACGGGCTACAGGCCCTCAGGCATCCACCCACACAGCATGGGGTCCTCTGCCCCAGAGCGGACATCTATACCCTGCCCATGGGCTGCAGGGGGACAACCCGCTTCACCACGACCCCGGGGAGTCTCTGCTCCAGCACCTGGAGCATGTGCTCCCCCCCCTCTTTGTTCACTGGCCTTGGCGTCTTCACATGTTCTCACTCCTCCATCTCTGTGCCAGCTGTTGTGGCGCAGTTCTTTTTCCCCATTTCTTAAATACGTTTTCCCAGAGGCATTCCTCTCCTATCACTTTACTGAGAGGCTCAGCCTTGGCCAGTGGCGGGTCCTTCTTTGGAGCCGGCTGGCATTGGCTCTGTCAAACTCAGGGGAAGCTTCTAGCAGCTTCTTGCAGAATCCACTCCTAGAGCCCCCCAAGTCTCTGAAATCCAGCCAGGCCAACCCAATAAAATGTGGTAACTTTGAAGTTTGACTTCATGGCAAGTTTAAAAAAGGAAATGTAGGTACTCTTTCTGAAATGCGAAATGCAGAAACACTTTTCCAGCTCATTTGAGTGAGATATTTTTGAGGATTAAAGAACTGAGCACTTATTCTTTGTTTCATTGAAAGGTCTTTGATTCAGAAAAGGTAGTGTTAACACTTTCTTAGAAATAGAAAAGTGGAAGCATCCAATGAAAATTTTAAGTCATCATTGTTTGACACCAGTTGGTATTCTGTGGAGAGCTAAAACTTTGAATATTGAAGTTGGGTTTAATTTTAACAACTCATTTGCTGTGTGTTTCACTTGGTGTCTCCTCCTGCATGTTCAGAACCATGCTCTGCAGAACTCTCTCAAAGTGTGGGTCGTAGAAATTTTTAGGCCATTACATCATGTGTGTTACCAAACAAGGCTGGGTAAACTCAGACAGCTTGTATGAGAGAAGTGTCTTGGTGATGAATGCAACTGTTGGACACAGTGAATTGCTCAGCTTTTACCTTGGGACCCATGGCAGTGCCAGAAAACAGTTCTAATCCTCTTCCTTTCCCAGTTTCTAATACTGAACTGCATTGGTTGCTCTAAGTCTTGGCATGTAGAGCCCTGGGGAAATTAGTCACAGTTTTTCTTTGTAGAGTAGGGATATTACTGTTGTTACATTAAAAACATATTTTATTATTCAGAAGATACAGACCTGAGATAGAAAAGGGGACTGGTTTTAGAAATAAAATAGTAATCATGAGAAATCCTTACCGAAGAAAAGAAAATCTTTTATGCAAAAGCATACCTGATATGGTTTGGGTGCTTTCTTTCAGAGAGCCAGTTCACAGCAGTCACCCCAATTAAGAGACATGCAAACCCAACAAACACAGATGAATTGACAGCAGCTGAGGTTCTTCCCGAAATAAGGTAAGTGTCCAGTTATTTGTGTACACTTCTGATTTAGAGCAGGACTACCTTAATCCATGTGCTGCCTAGGAAGCTTTGTTACAACAGCAAGCTGTTATTTCCATTCTCTTGGTAAAAACCTTCATAAAACCTCTCCCTGCGTTCACTAGAAAACAGTGAAGATAGAGAAAAGTTTTAAAACTCTGTAACTCAATTATGTTTAGAATATATTCCTATTTTCTGTAAGTTGCTTCTTATTCCAGTTCCCTAGAGGGCTGCATCTCTGGGTTTAAATCTGAACTGACTTTCAAACAGAAAATGTCATAATACAGTGCACTTGCTTTGGTTTTCTTCACTTTGTCGAGTCTGATAACGTTTTAGTGATGTGTCCGAAAATTACTAATTTCTAAACACTAAGAAAAAACGACTGATAAATTTGTTCATGTAACAGGAGTCATTCAGAGGATCACAACCTGAATAGCAACCCAAGGAAGAGAAAAGCCAAAATATTCGGAAATATTGAAAGAGGCTTAGATAAAGTGATCACGATGCTTACGCCAAGCAAAAAGAAACGACCCATCAGAGATCGCCCGAGGAAAGTTAAGGTATGCGTGCTGGAAAAGTCCGACACACCTACACCAACAGTTTTAAGGAATGCTCTCATCTGCATTTTTCAGTATGCCTGTGCCATTTGAGCGATACACTGTCCTCTTCAGTCTCCAAGCACAGTAACTATACAATCCATACTTATTTTTCTAGACTAAAATTTTATACACTTTGATTAAAAAAAACAAACCAACCTGCGACTGTAAAAGATTTTTGAAATATCTTTGCATTCCTTTACTGAGGTGGCTGGTTTAGACTGGACTGGCACAATTTTCCCCAGAAAGTCATGAAATAATAGCTGTGGAGGATAAGAAACTGAATTCTGTAGGAAAAAAAAAATATTTAGAAATCAATTCCTAAGTGCTTGTATTAGAGCATTAATTGCTTAATTAGCCTTTATTAAAAAAAAAAAAGAAGTATAATTATCAAAAACATCCAATGCCTTTAGAAATAGTCTTGTGGAAACTTCTGTGACCTGGCTGGCCCGTGTTTTATGATGAAGTGCGATTTAAAAATAGGAATAAGTGTTGTACGCCTTCAGTCAGCGGGGGCTGCTGGAGCTGCAGCTGCTGCAACACCTCCTGTACAGTAAGAGGTGTCTGTCAGCAAAAAAAAGACCTGTCTGAAAGTAAAAGGACTTTCTGTTTTGCAGCCTTTGTAAATGGAATTCAGCTACTGTATTCCAGTTGGAAGCTTTTCCAAGAGGCACTTGTCAGAGGCTTGGTGGCGAGCTTACAAGTTCATCGGACAGGAGTCCAGACTGTGCAAGTGTATCAGGAGCCTGAGCAATTGGAAACAAAAGTTAATTCTTCTGTCTCTGAAAGCTTTTATCCTCACTTGTTCACAGTATATGGAAAATTACTGATTTGTGTCTAGGGACGCTGGAGCACAACAAGGAAAGTCAGAAATTTATTTCACAGTGTTAGAGCAGTTGTGGCAGGGAGCTCCCTGTGTTTTAGGCTGAATAAGAACTGTAAGAACCAGTCTTTTGGCTGACTTTGCATCCTCAACCTATGGGGTTTTTTTCAAACTGTTTTGATCTTCTCATCTGCTTCTGTGACTTGGGAAGACAGGTAGAGCGTTTGTGGCATATTACAGTTGTCACAGGATTTCTCTCATTGCATATGGGTGTCTGAAAATTATTCAAGAAGTCACTTACCAGACAAGTCCGTTACACGAAGTATTAAACGTGATGCACATAATTTATGTTCTCTGATGTCAGACGGACAGGCTGGGTGTGCAGCAGGGTGCTCTGTGCACAGCCCTGAGGCTCTTCTGCTCCTGGCTGGGAATCACCGCTGGCTACGTGCAAGACTTCTGATAGTCCGTCCTGCCCCAGCCCATTACTGCTACTTTTGATTTTATGATGGATTGTAGTTTGGATGTGCTTTGATCTGAATTTTCCAGCAGTTGTTTGGTGTTTCTGTTGCTACTACAATGTCTTAAGTATGATAACATTGGAAAGTTAAGGCATTTGTCACTATATGTTGCAAAATGTACTTTTTAAATATTTTTGTAATGTCTTCAGTTTTAGAGAAGCTTTTTTGTTTTTTTTTAATCCCTTGACTTTTCTTTTAACGAGCTGACTGCTTTTAGGCACACTATAATGTTACCACCGCTCAGCTACTGAATCCAGACCAGCTGTTGAATGAAATAATCGCTGTTCTTTCGAAGAAGCATGTGGATTATATTCAGAAGGGGTAAGTGTAAAATACAATGGCTTCAACTTGTATTTGTCTAAACAGTCAGTACTCCAGTCATGGTATAAAGCAAAGTAATTAAACTTATTTTCTCAGCCCTACATTGTAAAATACAGTAATTTTTTAGGAAGTTCACAGAGCACTAAATGAATGAGTACAATAAAACTTGTGCACACAATGCAAAACGTTGAATTCTAACAGAGCTCGTTGACAAATATAAACCAGTAATAGTGAGGTGGCTCTTTGAGGCTGATGTGAATTTTGTCCGTCTCTTCTGAAATCATAAATACGAAAGGTTTGTTAAACTACAGTCACATCACCAAACCGGACAGTTGTGGGAGATGATGTGGATACCTGTGGATTTTACTTTCCAGCTCAGTCTCTCCTCTCTGCAGGTGACAGCGTGTGTGTGCAGGCAGTGCTCCTGCTGGCAGGGGTGACGCTGGTGGTGACAGTCACTGCCAGGGCTGGGGTGCCCAAAGGCTCCGGCTGGTGCCTGCTCCTGGGGTGACTGAGGCCACGGCTGGGTCTCATGTAACATCTTGGGGTGCCGGGAAGGGAAAGGGTCACGAGGAAGTGAAAGGTGGCACCTGCGGGGAGGAGCGGACAGGGCAGGTGACCCAAACCCAACCGACCAACGGAGTATTCCGGCCCACACATGTCACACTCGGCATAAAGCTGAGGGGTCACGGGGGTTGAGGCCTCTTCTTCAAGGGCCGGCGTCCCAGGAGGACTCGGTCTGATCTCCTGCCTTTGGTCCCGACCCCGAGTTCCCGGATCCAGCCCCTGTGCCCAGTTCCCCTCCAACGCTGAGCAGGGGGCTGCCCCGGTGCCGCCACCTCTGCAGCACCCCTGGGGATTGGTGTTGGGAGGCAGTCAGGTTTGATATCAGTTCTGTATTTACTTGTATATAGTTCATTATTATTCCCTTATTAGTATTATTATTGTTTTATTAAACCTGTGTTAGTTTTCTTTTCCAATCCGTAAGTCTCTCTGCCTTATTCCCTTTCCCGGCCCATTTTCCCAGGAGAGGGGCTATAGGAGAGCCTGTGTCAGTGCTCCATGGCCTACCCAACTGGAGCCCTCAACACCAGACCAAGGCACTGAGAGTAGGGTTGGTTCCTAGTTCTGACCAGAGCTTAATGCCTGTTTTTTCATTTCCCACTACATGAAAGAGGTGTTGTACTCACTCATGCCTATGCATTTTCTAAAGTTCCTGGATATTTAAACGACAGGCATTGTAGAACATCAGAGTGTGTTTCATCCCTTGAGGCATTTGAAGATCAGAATCTGAAAGGATACTGCACCACTCAGAAGCACCATCTCCCATTGTGATGATTTAAACTTCACATTCAGTTTTTTCACTTTTCACACTGGTAACCAACCTCCTGGCAGTGGTGTCTCTGTGGGGAGGAGAGTGGGAGTATCTCCATGCCTCCAGCTCTCTGGCTGGGCAGGACATTAGAGCTGCCTGTCAGTGCTTGGACATAATGATAAAGTCCTGGGACTGGAGTAGTTAAAGCTCTGAGTTTGCAAAATTCTGGGTCATTTCCCAATATTCTGAGCAGCAGGGGTAATTGTGAAGCACTTTTATTAATTTATTATTCACAAAACAAGCATTAAGCAGTTCAACAATTATTCCATTTTTCCTTTGCTTTGCACAGTTATACCCTGAAGTGTCAAACACGGTCAGATTTTGGCAAAGTGACTATGGAGTTTGAGTTGGAAGTGTGTCGGCTCTGTAAACCTGAGTTGGTGGGTATCCGTCGACAACGACTCAAAGGTGATGCCTGGGTCTACAAGAGGCTGGTGGAAGACATCCTATCAAGCTGCCACCTGTGACCAGCCAGGGCACGTGCTGAGAAAGCAGCAGTTTCGTACCAAGGCCTTAATCATAATGTTTTGCAGAGGCCTGTTTGGAAAAGTAATTCTGTGTTTGAAGAGCCTGCCATCTTTCTTGGGTTTTTAACTATCCCTTCTTGTACATATGCCCTTCCTATGTTTCCTTTTGTGTACGAGTTTTTTAATAAAACTTCTTTAACTCTTATGAAGTAAAATCCTCTGGCATACGTAGCTTGAAAAAAGCATGGGTGTTTGTTTGCCGGAGCGTTATTTTGGTGTATCTTCAGTTACCCGAGTACATGTGGTACAGAAATAGTCATTTGCATAATTCTCTTCTTGTCTCTGCTTAAATAGGATTTATTGAGATCGTTAACTAAGTCACAGCTGTGGTTCCCAGAGTCACACTATATGCTTGATGTTGTACAAAATAGGACTGGCTTCAATAAAGGTGAAGTCAAGAGTGCTAAGATTTAAACTATGATGCCACTTAAAATGTTACTGCATCTCATTACGAAGGCCTCGGTGATGCTTAACAAGTGTGTGTGTGTTTTCTGGTGCTCGTGTTAAGTGAACATCAGGCCCTTGTGTCAAGAACCGCAGTGCCTCTGAGCTGCGGCGGCCGGGGAAGCTGTCCACAAGGAATTAGGCCACACCTTGAACAGCATCAGTCACAGAACTTGGGCACTAGAAATAAGATTGGAAAACTGGTGCGCAGAGGAGCTGGTTCAGATGTGAGGTTACTGCCCCAGAGGAAAGTGTGTGTGTACTGAGCACTGGGGCTGTTCAGCTGGAGAAGAGGCTGAGGGGAGATGTTCTTGCTTTCTGCAGCTCCCTGGCAGGAGGGGGCAACCAGGGGGGTTGGACTCTTCTCCTAAGTGAGAAGTGATGGGATGAGGTAAAATGGCCTCAAGTTGCACCCAAGGAGGTTTTTTTTGGATATTATAAAGAATTTCTTCACTGAAGGAGTGGTGAGGCACTGGCACAGGCTGCCCAGGGCAGTTGTGGAGTCACCATCCCTGAAGGTGTTCAAAAAAACGTGCAGATGTGGCACTTTAGGACGTATTTTAGTGGTTGTGGTGTTGGGTTTGATGGTTGGACTTGATGATCTTAGAGGTCTTTTCCCACCTTAACGATTCCATGATTCTAGGAATCCCTTGCGCTGCCTCTCACCTGGCAGTGTTTGCATCTCTGGCTTCTGTCGCTGCTGTGCAACAGGATAAATCCCAGCAGTGGGATGGCAGCTCTGCTGAGCCTTCCTCTGGGTGAGGGTGTCTGGTGGTATCTGGGCAAACTGCCAACACGCTGCAGGTTTTTCCTAACACTGGGGAAGGCAGCAGTGGTGTATCCTGTGTGTAAACCTTGCTAACTGCCCCTGAAGCTCCTGTGACTGAGCAGTGGGTAGTTGAATGTCCTTAGAAACCAACAGTGTGGCTGCTAATTCAAAGTGTCTGCCTACTATCTATGACCACTAGTGCAGTAACTGGATAGGTTTGTTTGTCGTAGTCCTGATGGAGGTAGAAGTATCCTTTTTTTTTTTTTTCCCTAATGCCAAATTTTCTCTCTGCTGCTCTTCAGACAGATAGAGGGACCAGGATTTTTAGTGGATTTGAAGTAAAGGTAGAAACCAGGGTACGTGGAAGGAGAGAGCTGCTGCTCCTTGAAGCACTCCTGGTCAGGAACCTCTTAGATGCAGAGAGGGGTAACAAGAAAAGAGGAACAACGTGAACAAAAACGTGTGATGACACATGCCTGGCTGACAGGCGGTAAGAGAGGTGGCAACGAGAGATGAGCCTGGTCACGTTAATTGAAAACGGTGTGTGGATTGTGGTCATGTTTGTTTTAGAAAGGTTAGTCCATCGGAACCTTACCAGACAGGATACTGAGGACAAAGAGGAAGTCGGCAATAGTAAAGAATAGAGGGACAAAAAAAATAGACACTGACAGAAAGCTGGGGATGCTGCAGTGAGCCAGGACTGGCAGCCAGCAGGTCCGGGGCTCTGGGGTTTGCAGTGCCGGTGATGGTGACGGGAACACAGGCAGGGGTTCAGGATTGTACCTGCTGCCAGGAAGCAGCCACGCTTTTGACATCACTTAACTGCTGATGAGAAATATGAACAGGGATGGCCATGCAGTGCAGGAGATGTTACACATGGTACGTGACCAGGGCGTGAATTAAGGGATTTTGTTAATAGAAGTGTACTTAACCTATTGCTCTAACGAATTACTGCTTAAATCTCTATATCAGCACTTAAATATTTTCTCTGGCTGACGCCGCTTGCTACAGAGTTATACTCCTGCTTGGTTTTTGGATGTTGAAATTAGAACCTGCAAAATACTGGTTGGAAATCTGCTGGCAGCCGAGGGCTGTAGCTGGTGCGTATCTGGGGCCCTGCGGTGCTGTACAACCTCTGCTTTCTGCTTACTTCTTGTTTGAACAGAAACTTTTCCCCAATAATTCGTCTTCTGCCTGGAACTGGATCTGAACTGAAATAAGGGCGGAAGATGGGGGGGACTGTTTGAATGGGGCATGTTGATAACAGGGTACTGAATAGCAGGGTACTGAAAGAATTGAAACATTCACTTGCTTTTTTATTCCTTGAGTTTTAGATTTGGGAATGACTAGAGAAGTATCCTCAAATGCCTGAACTGCCCCTTCTAGAAGCACATTCTGCGTGAGTAACTATCTCCTCCCTATGGTGACAAGACTGATCTTATGAAAGGACAAACAGTAATTAAGATGTCTTGTTCTTTCCTTCTTTTTAAGCTAAAAACAACTGGGAGATAATTGATTCAAACTGTCTTACAAGCTCTGATGTGTGAAATAAGGTTCCTCTTCATATGCTACTGTCCTGACTTTCTTTGCTAACCTTCCTTGCTGTGAATGAATGACATCTGGGGATAGGAATCAGAGAATGGGTGAGAAGCAAGATTCATCTGTGTCTTTTTTTTGAAACCAAACTGCTGGTATGCTATCAGTATGTTTTTTAGCAGAGATTGCTGGAAGCTGATCTCAGATGTAGCTCAGAGGCTGGCAAAACCAAGGGCTAACAAGTAAAGGAGCTGTGTGGATAGTGAGGAGCCTAGATTGTGCACCGAGCTTGGGGAAGCCTCTCCACAGAGGAACTCATGGCCAGGAGGTTTGTCTTTCCTGCATCCGGGCTGCTCCTCCTGCAGGATCCGAACTGTATAATGTCACGCCTATCAGTCAGTCCCGAAATTGTCTGGTGTGCTATGCACCAAGGAGACTCTCCTAACGTCATTCTTTCACTAGAATCCCTGTTGTTGGCTAAACTTAGGTTCATTGCACATGAATCTGTTCTTGGTGTTGCCACTGAGCTTGTCTCTTCGTGATGCACTGCTGGTGCAAGGGCGTGAGCAACCACCACTCACCCACGTGTATTTGGTGAGACTGGATGTAGGCAAGATCTTGGGGCTTCCTTGTGCTCTGTTCTCTCACCCCAATGTTGGATACGCTGCGGCTGATCCTCCTTCATCTTCCTTCTAAAGCAGGTGATCCCAATTTTTCTAAATCCTTATTTGTCTAAGTCCCTGTATGGACTTCATGCAATAGCAGCAACACTCTTTGTCCTCTCTCTACCTGCTCTTCCACGTCCTTTGTGCAAGGGATACTTGTGTTCTTCCCACTGCACATGTTCTCAGCTCCTCCCTTCTGTTCCTCTTCGTCCATCTCTAACTTAGTGCTACCAGCAAATCTCTGTCACCTTCTACAGTTTGTGCCCAGGCCACACAGATGGATATTTAACTAGAGTAGTCCCAGACTAATATTTGAAAAACCTTCCAGAAGCTCTCTCTGGCAGATCACCTTTCATCTCCGACTCCCCACCTTGCAATTCGAGGAGTAATCCCAACCCTTCCCACTGTGGTCGTGTGTCCTACCTGTTGCCCTCCAGAAATGCAGAACACTTTTGCTGTGCAGTTCCTAGAGAAGAATTGGGCTGATTCTGGCATTTTAACAGAACTATGCTGTGTGTTGATATGATTTTGGGGAGCAGACAGCAGAGAACCCTTCCTGCTTTACCCCTGCAGCCCGTCTGTTCACATGTTTAAATTGTTTTTTTTCCATTCAAAGCTTCATGTAAAGATGTTTTTCTAAAACCTCTGCTATAAAACTATATCACGGAAGATATTTTTCATAGGGAATACAACCTTTCTGTTGCTTTTCTTCTCTCTGCCTCTTTTCTCCAGGCCTTGCCATGCTGGATGGTCTCGCAGAGGAGCCGGGAGGAAGATGGATTGGATGCAAGGATGATGGGAAACACACAGAGAAATTGCTACTGCCCTGTGCTGAGATTGAAACAGATCCATGTAATCTGGAATTAAATTTTGAGGAGAGGGGAAAACCAAGCTATGTTTACTTACAGAATCTGAGCTCCTTACTGGGTCCATAGAGTGAGATTTGGTATAGATGTAACACAAATTAAAAATGCACAGGCTTGTTTTCCAGACTTGGTCAGGGTTGAGGCTATTAGTTTAATTGCTCACCCTTTGTTTTACTTAATTAAAGTTAATATACTAACTAAGGGAATTACTGTTCTGACATCTGTAATTTCTGAAAATAGCGAAGAGTTGAAAAAACAAGCAGGAATGCTGCATGGAAAGCTTATCAGAAGTCTAAATGCCACCAACCTTTCCTGGGAGAGGCAGATAACAAAATTTTAGTCTCTTCATTATAATGTATTTGGCAGTAGCTGCTAGTCCCTAAAGCTTTAGGTTCTGGGTGCTTGAGAGCTGTGATAGGAAACTGACTTCAGAAAACCTTCCCATTACACTGTCCTGTCCCTGCCCAATGTGTGGAACGTGTTCCCCACCGCCTCGACACACCTATTTTCTGGATGTCGGGGATACTGAATAGACCACAGCAACTTATTCCACGTGTCCTGGGAGAAGAAGGAGGCAAGATCATAGTTGTTGGGTAGCACTGCCAGAGCTGGTGAGCAACGCATGTGGTGTAACTCACGCAGGATTTCGTCTTTAAAAAA